AACCATGAGAATGGATTAGGTGCTGAATAGCTTTAGTTGTCAACTTGACACACCTGTTTAGAGGGAGCCTCTATTAGAGAATTTCCTCCATTTGACTGGTCTATGGCAATGTCTGTGCGGCATTTTCGTGGTTGTTAAGTGATGTGGGGGTGCCCAGTCAACTGTGAGTGGTTCCGCCCCTGGCAGTTGGTATTATATAAGTCATCTGAGAACAGGACAGAGGATCAAGCCAGTAAGCAGTATACTTCCATGGTCTGTGCTCCAGGTTCCTCTCCTTAGTTCATCCATCAAAGCTTCCCTTGATGATGAACTGTGTGGTAAGCCAAATAAACCCTTTCTTCCCAAAGTTGGTTTTGATCAGAGTTTTTCACAGCAAATGAAAGCTAACTAAGACAAAATTTGGTACCAGGAGTGGGGTATTGCTATGACAGACCTGACACAGTTGTCTTTAGGAGGACTGTGAAAGTATTTGGAAATTTATACTGGAAAATAATGCTGAAAAAGGCATAAACAGTGGATGCCTGGTTTGTGAAGAAGCAAGATTATCAGTGCTGTTTATGTGAAATTTTAAATTGAGAATATGTGGTTTCTGGTCCTCTGGGGCTGAAGAATCAGCTGGGATTAAGAAGAGACTAGGGCCACTGAAGTGAAACCTTTGCCTTATTGGGACACTTGATGCTGGTTAGCTGGAGCTGAAAAATTAGCTGTAATAATAGACCAGCATCATTGAAGTGATATCTTCTGGAAAGTACTCCGTCAGGGTCAGAACATAGAAGGGGGCCAAGGCTCCATCTAAAGCCAGAATCAGGACTTGATAATGTGTAGAAGTCTCCTGCATGGCTCTGATGTTGAAGGCATCATGGAGCGTAGCTCTGGTTTGGCATCATGTGAGGCCAGAAAGGCCCTGTGTGAAGGTGTAGTCTTGGTTGCAACGGAAACCTCAGCATATTGGAAATCCCAGGACTACGGAATGACCACCAATGTCAGCATCAGGTATGGAGTGGAACTGGCCTGAGCGTATGAAAAAGCTGAGTGTGCTGTGGATGGCAGAACCAGAGAAGTGGAGCCATCCAAGCCCTTTGGAGCCCAGAAGACCTTGAGTGAATCCCAGATGTCCAGCTGTGAGCTATTTTGCCAGGCTTTGGTTTCACTTAAGTGTGTCTGATTCTTCCATTTGGAAATAGGACAGTGTTTAACTTGTTTTGGATTTTACAGGAGTCCCCAGTTAAGAGACTTTTTAAAGAGGCTGAACTTTTAAAGTGTTTGAATTTTTAAGGACTGTGGGACTTTTAAAGTTGTACTATCTGATGTAACATTAATGTCATCTTGGGGATAAGAAATGGAAAGGTTGTGGTTCAAAAATGATGTGTTTGTGTGTCAAGTTGACAAGGAGCCAATTGTGCTGGATAGCTTTAGTTGACAACTTGACACACCTGGGTAGAGGGAGCCTCTATTGGGGAATTTCCTTCAATTGACTGGCCTGTGGCCATGTCTGTGGGGCATTTTCTTGATTGTTGAGTGATGTGGGAGGACCCTCTGTACCTGGGGCAAGTGGTCCTGTATTATAAAAAAGGCAGATTGAGCATGGGCTAGAGCAAATCAGTAAGCAGCATACCTCCAGGGTTTGTGCTCCAGGCTCCTGCCTAGAGTTCCTGCCTTGGCTTCCCTTGATGATGGGCTTGCTTGTAAGGCAAATAAACCCTTTCTTCCCCATGCTGGTTTTGGTCAGTGTTTTTGTCACAGTAATTAAAAGAAGACTAGAAAGCTTCCCCATAGGCCCACAAATGAAATACCGCCCCCATTATTTTTCCCCAGAATGTGTGCTCTAGCCCGTCTCCCAGGCCATTTGCAATTATGGTTGAATTTCCCACCAAGGGTTGGAAGGTGCAAGTGAATGTGAGGGTCTTGTGACTTTCCCTGCCCCTTCTTCTGTTCAAGAATCAACATTCACCAAACCTAGCTGTTATGATCTTTGGCAAGTAGGTACAGCTGAGCTCAGGTTAGGTGGCTTGGAGGACTACCCTGTATACCACCAGTGTTATTAGAGACAGTTCATTTCAGTATGGTTGTTTACTGAGCATTTCCTAGGTGATGGGCATTGTGCTGATACCTCAACAACCAAATCATCATCTGATCTCAAAATATGACTATGTCATATAGACTCATATATTGTTTTGTCTAGAAGTAATTTGATACTTACACTAAAATGTAATAGGTACAATGAAGATCATTTGGCCCAAGGGAACAATACTTTTCCTAACCAGTATTGTAGAATAGTAATTTCCAGAAAATAAAGCACTGAAACACAATCTAAAATCTGAGTAAATAATGCAAGATGAAGACAACAGAGGTATAAGAAGCTTCAATAGAAATGGCACATGGGAATGAAAGAGCAGATGTTTGGGAATGGCATTCATGAAGCATTAAGAATGGGATGAGCAAGGACAGAATAAGGGAGGATGCAGAGGGGGTCAGTCCCACACTGTTATATGATGTATATGTAAGAATGTCAAAATAGGGAACTGGGGAGTTGGCTCAGCAGTTAAGAGAACGGACTGCTCTTTTGAGGAGCAGGGTACAATTTCCAGCACCCACAAGACAGCTGCCAGCCTTTCTTAACTCTAGTTCCGGGAGATACCACACCTCCTTCTGACCTCTGTGGGCATTGCACAACAATGAAAAAAGATACAAAAAAAAGCACAAATGAGATTAGGAAGACAACTAGCAATGGGGGGTGTGCACTGGAAATAGTTTAAAAGAGTCTTAATTACATGTGGTGTACTTTATTAATAAAGGAGCTACTGAAAGTTTTCATTCAGGAAGGAATATGTTTAGATGTGTTTAGATAGGTTTACCAACAAAGTGTAGCCTGTCTTTAAGGTGAACTGGCTGGGAAGAAAGTCTAATACTCTATGAGACAGAATATCTAAACCAGTTTTGTAAAAAAAAAAAGTAAAAATATGAGAAAAGAAGTTTGAAAAAATTAGGGGAGAGACATGACAGAACTTACTACTGTTAGGGGAAGCTCAATTAGAGAGGAGGAGGACATGGTATGATTCCCATGGCACCACAATGGTAAGTGGGTGCTATGACTGACACTATTTTCCTTTTGAGGACCAAGGTACAGTAGGAAAAGCACGTCCAATTTATTTATCAGTAATGTCCATTACATTGTATCTATTGTGAGATTCAAGACCCAGGAAAAGAAGACAAATTCTGTAAATTCACATAGACCACCCTTATTCAATCTCTTGTCTTTTTAAAAAAATAAAAAAGACTGACTTATGTTTTATGTGTATGAGTATTTTGTCTGCATATATGCATCACATGTATTCCTGGTGCCTATAGAGAGTAGAAGAGGACACTGAAGCTGCTATGTTGGTGCTGGTAAACAGAGACAGATCCACTGCAAGACTGGTGAGTCTTCTTAACTGCTGCATCATCTCTCCAATACCCTCTCAATTCTAGCCTACATTCCCTGGTCTTTTAACACTGTCTACCTTGCTTCCTTTAAAACAAATACTACATTTAGTGTTTATGTTCCTGCTTTTGTGTGTGTATGTGTGTGTGTGTGTGTGTGTGTGTGTGTGTGTGTGTGTATATCAGAGAACAACTTGCAGAGCTGCTTCTCTGCTTCCACTGTAACCACTGAGCCCACTGACCTCCCCTGCTTCTCCATCATAACAAGTCACATGACATGATTTGGTACTGTTCTCTCTCACGGTGGCCTATTCCTGGTATTTGTCACTGGACATAAATCTCCAAATGTCTGGTAAAATTTAAGGTACATCTGACTTCATGAGATTTTAGCATTTTAATCATGTAAACTCCAAACTCCTAAGTACAAAGTATCTTCCCCATGGAAACTGAACCTATATATTTGAGGTCATACTACTAAATAGCTAGACATTGGATGAGCCTTGATAATTGAGAAAAAAGAAGCCAATGACAAGAAAAAGACATTAATTTCCACATTTGGTAAGATTTATAGCTTTTTCTTGACAAGTTTGGGAATAATTTGTGGAGATCATAGGGGGACAAATCAAACACCAATGTTTTCCACCTTGGTGACCTCAAACTCTTTCTTGAATACTTATCAGAGCTTATAAGTTGTTTTACACACAGATGTAGGATAGCTGTTTAGACATTCATTCCTTCTAGATGCATTTGTTGAGTAGTATTTGTATCCTAGAAACCAGAAAATATGCTAGCGTGTAACAGCATTATAAAATTGAGCCGTTGGTGGATACGACAGTAGAAAATAAATAACCTATAGAAAATTAGAAAATTAGAAAGGGGAACTGACTTGGCTGGTAAAGGGTAGTTGTGGCAATATGGATGGTGCTAGCTTAAATAAGTTGACAAGGAAATCCAAATGGACAGGTGATATTTGAGCAAAACATTTAGAGGGTTTTGTTGGGTATGGAGAGGGCATAGAGAGGGGGAAAAAACAAGCAGGCACAAAATTCCAAGGGCATCAGTACAGATAATCTCAGCAAATGAGGTGCAAGTCAGGGTAAGCCAAAGGGAAACTCATGGATAATGGAAAAATGTCTGAATTTTATTCAGGAATTGATGAGATAATTAACATATTTCAAATAGGAGTAACCCCTCTAATTTGTATTATTTATTTATATTTTCTGTTTATGAGTGTTATTCCTGCATGTATGTAAGTTTACCCATGCATAGAAGGGCATTGCCTGTGGAGGGCAGAAGAGGGGGTCGGCTCCCCTGAAACTGGTGTTATGGATGGTGTTAGCTTCCATTTATGTGCTGGGAACCTAACTTTGGTCTTCTGCAAGAGCAACCAGTGTTCTTACCCACCAAGTCATCTCTTCAACTCTGATGACTCACATTTTCAAAGAACATCTGTGTTGTATGGACAACTTTAAAGGAAAGGTAGCAAGAAATCTAGATGGTCAATAACCAAATCTGAGATGATTGTCAGTTGTTCTAAGATGACTCTTACCATACAGAATCCTACAAAACAACATATGTCTCTAAGCAAGTATTTTCTTACTAAGCTGTCTCTTCAGAGCTCCCTTAATCTCATTATTCCTGAGACTGTAGATAATTGGGTTCAACATGGGGATCACTACCATGTAGAACACAGATACCACCTTGTTCTGGCCAGTGGAGTAGCTGGACTTGGGCATCACATAAATGAATGTGACAGTCCCATAGTAAAGAGTGACTGCAGTGAGGTGGGAGGTGCAGGTGGAGAAGGCCTTCTGGCGGCCCTCAGTGGAGGGCATCTTCAGGATGGTGATGAGGATGTAGGTGTAGGAGACAGCTATGATTAATAATGTGATCACAGTAACGGTGCCTGCAGAAAATGAAATAACAATTGTGGGGACACTGACATCAGAACAGGAGAGTTCAGTTAAAGGGGAAAAATCACAGAAAAAGTGGTTGACTCTATTTGGCCCACAGAAAACAAAAGAAAAGAAAGAAAAGGTAAAGGAGGAAGCATTCAGAAAACCACCTACATAAGATCCAACAAGCAACTGGTTACAAACTTGTGTGGACATTTTGGTTGAATAAAGAAGTGGGCTACAGATTGCCACAAAACGATCATAAGCCATGACAGCCAGAAGGAAACACTCCATTGGCCCAAAGAAAGCAGCTGAGTCAAGCTGGATGCCACACCCGAGGTAGGAAATGGTATTCTTCTCCACCAGGAAGTTAACAAGCATGTTGGGTGTCACAGAAGATGAAATCCCTATGTCAGTAGAAGCCAAGTGACTCAGAAAAAAATACATGGGGTGATGGAGCTGAGGGGAGACTCTGATTAGCAGGATTGTGCTAAGGTTTCCAAGCAGGGTCACCAGGTAAATGCACAGGACGATGAAGAACAGGATTCCTTGAAGGGCTGGGTCATCTGTTAATCCCAATAAAATGAACCGTGTCACTGTAGTGTGGTTCCCATCCCCCAGGAAAGCCATGGGGCAGTGCAGCTGCTGCCAGAACAAAGCTGTGATGAAGACATACTGTGAATATATTTGTAGCTGCATTTAGTTTAGCACATACATGAAGGGAATTATGAACAAATACATCATTCAATAAATGACTAGAACAACAAATGATGTTTTACTCTGGAATTTCAGGGTTTATATCTTTGTGTGCATTGAGTCTGTCTTAAAATTTTAAAACACAAATGCTATAATTTTTCAATAAATAATGTACGACCTTTCCTTACATTTATTTACTGTAAAATATACCTATATGTTTTAAAACTAAAAATATAAAACTGTGAGAACTTTGCCTGAAATATGGCTCAGCTGATAAAAACACTTGATAGCCTGCATTCCATCAGGGGACCCCACAGGGTGGGAGCAGATACCTGATTCTTGAAAGTTGTCCTCCGACCTCAGCATGTATGCTGGAATGCACAAAACTGATGTCTCTCGCCTTGCTCAAATACATAAATACATTTAAAATTGTGGAAATAACCAAGTAGTTTTTATGAGTATAGCAAAGGAATAACATGCAAACATTGAATTATGTAACAAACTATTAAAGAAATGCTAATAATGATAAAAGCTTTATTGAATGCTTACTAATCACCGGCAGAGGATTTAAATTTTTATATGTTGTTCAATTTTCATGTCCATGAAGTAGTAGTAAATACTTTATTTTCATTTTATAGTTGAGAAACCAATTTGAAAATATTTAACCTAAAGTTCCATGAGAAATAGTATAATTAGAAATGAATATCAGGCAGGTGGAACTCAGTCCATTCTTTGTAGTAACTATGTATGAAGAGTTGCAATGAGGTTGAGAGTGCACGGATATTTGGGAAAGACAGCAGAGCAGGTTTTCAGCTTTCTGATGGCTGGCACATAGGAGGTATCTGGGTGGTGACACTGATCATAAAGGTCATCAGTTAAGTAAGGCCATGTCTTAATGACTTTTGAAAGGGATAAATAAGTTTTCTTGCTAGAACTGAGAATAGAAGGATTTCACAGAAATTACATATGTAATATATTTATAATATATAAAGTATAAATGTATTAGTTCCTACTGTAAATTCATTAGCTTTTAAAATATTTCTAGTTAAGCCATTGCTCTATCAAGTATTTTGTAATATCAATTTTAATTATCATGTAAAATATGAATAATATTTAGAACATTGTTATTAGTATTCACTTATTCAGGCACACTAAATCCTTTCCTAATGTAACATTTCTAAGTTAAGAATTATGAAATATGTTATTTTTAACAGACTATGAAGGTGAATAAACATTCAGCCTAAGCAGATAAAAAGTTTATCCAGTTTCACCCCTTGGTGTAGGTTGACTCTCATTTCCCGAGATTTAGATCCTTTGTTTGTCTACGATGTCTGGAGCCTGTGATGCTACAGCATTCAGCCAATAAATAGAGAAATTATTTCCACAAGATATTCACTGACTGTAAGCCATCAAATGTTTCAAAGCTGGTGAAATTCTTAGCAATTTGATTGAGTGCTAAATTCATATATTGTTAAATACCATGTTAGTTAATGGTCCCATCAGTGGACGGATAAATAAGGAATCTCTGAAAACTGAGTTTTAAGCCTGATCATTTAGAATTCTATGGAAATACAAACTACAGAAATACAGATTTCACAAAACTTTTTCCCCTTTTACTATGTAATTGTTTGATTTTGCCTGACTTGTTTCTCTACAGATTATTTTCTCCATTTACCCATGAAGCCAAAATCTTACCTCTTGAAATGAGAATTCATTATAAAGTACAATAATCAAGGTTGTTATTACTTTATAGCTGCTAAGCTATCTCTTACATCACTGTTTATCACTGAGCATCAGTCTCTGAAGAGGCTCTGGATTCAAGTGTGAATTAAAGTCACCAGGGATCATTAGCTCATTCCCAGGTGAACACTGAGCAGTTCATTCCACACAAACACATAACATCATACACACAAAATAAAAATAAGATTAAATTTAAAATAAATAAATAAAATAAAGATAAATAAAAGACCTATAGAATAACATTAAGACTGAATTTATACGTTTAAGAATCATGGAAACAGAAGAACTTCAGAGTAAATGGCAAAATAATATATTCAATAAACTCTTAGGAGAAAAGTCCATAAATCAAGGCAAGAGATAACTACTCAGATTCTGGAGGCATTTTAAATAGTAGACAGATAAGACTGGGAAAGAAATGTAGTTAAAACACTGAACATTGAGAACAAAGAAAAAAATACTGAAATCTTCTAAAGAGGAACACTAAGTCACACAAAAAGACAAACCAATAAAAATTAAAGCACATTTCTCAACAGAAACCCTAAAATCCAGAGTATGAAATTATGCCTTCTAAGCTCTGAGAATAACTAAAACCAAGAGTACTATTATAGCAACATTATCTGTCTACT